TTCGGTCGCTCGACGCTTGCATGAGTGAAACAGCAAGGTTCTCTCTCGCTCTCAGTGCGCCGACAAGTCAAGCAATAAGAACGTAGTGCAAGAACAGAGCAATATAGTCGGCGGGTTGCACCCAGTTGGACACGGCTCAATTGGACACGAGCCACTCACAGCGCTTGAGACTACAAAGCTCCTAAGCACCGGTCGCTGTGATTGGTGGTGTCCAATCGAGACGTGGTCAATCGGGATCATCTCATAGTCGGCACGATTCTAAGCCCGAATCTTCATACGGACAACAGCGCTCTGACACCGAACGTTGATTGGTCAAAAACGGGTGGTGGGAGTAAATTTTACTCCCACAATCGGCTTTTCACCAATCAGTGCTCTGTGTCAAAGCGCCGGTGTCTGTATGAGGATCCAGCCTAACTAATTAAGTCACACGGCTCTGACTCATGCTTGCGTTGCTACCGATTGCGCCAGGCCGCCGACCGGTGGCGCTGATTGCGTGCTGGAAGCGGCCTGTAATTCGCATCACTGGTCTAGTTTCCACCGAAGATTTAAACCGGATCAGAATGTAAGAACTAGAGTCCTAGATTTATCAGAGAGGCGCAACCGGTGTTATGCATTCTGATTCGCTGTTGCAATCTGACCAATTGCGTGACTTGGCAGCCATTTATAGTACTAGTGACATATTTCTATTTCATTTTATCCTATACATTCTATCTCACATTATCCTACACGTCTTATCTTGTTTGATATAGTTTAAAGGCAGTTTTATAGCATGTCGGCCATGTTTAGTACTCTCCTTAGCACCTTTGTCATACTGACTTAAGCCGGTTGCGCCTCTCTGATAAATGTAGGACTCTAGTAAGAACCAACCAAAAAATTACAGTCGAGTATTCCCCTGTTACAGTCGAACGACAGGGAATGCTCGACTGTAGTTAGTTGGTTCTTACATTCTGATCCGGTTTTAATCCACGGTGGAAACTAGGCCACTGATGGAAAGCAGTGTATAGTAGGGCTAACGGGGCCAACAATACGGTAGGTCTGTTTTTTTGTGGCTGAACTAGGATTCTGTATCTTGAAATGAGATGAAAATTACAAAAGTGAGCGAATTTACTAGCCTACTGATAATTTCATTGGTCAATGCCTAGTAAATTTGCCCACTTTTGTAATTTTCATCTTGTTTCAAGATATAGAATCGACCCCCTAGTGTACACTTTTGGAACTTAAAGTGAAATAGATATACGTTTGATATTTGTTTAAAGCGAGAAAGAGAATTCTAGAACAGTCTAGTGTAGGAACATAAAACAGACCAAGTGAATACACTGAACGCACTGCACGCATGTGGTTGTGAGTAGGACGGATGTCTCGCCTGCTTTGGGTATTGCATCACTTTTTTTCATCGACATCTAGAATGGACCGCTGATGGCAATGGTGGGGGTAGAAAGACGATTAGAGTGAGAGGCAGGAATAATAAGATCGTTCTTTCTCTGTTTACTGAAGCCTGATTGGTTGTTGTTAATCCAACAGTAGTTAGAAACAACAGTAAACAAAGAAAGAACGATCTTATTATTCCTGCCTCTCACTCTAATCGTCTTTCTACCCCCACCATTGCCATCAGCGGTCCATTCTAGATGTCGATGCTTTTTTTATATAATCAGAGGCTCGGATCCGGGCAAGGTCATTTTATCGGATCAATCTCATATAATCACCTTGCCCACATTTTTTGAAGAACGTTTCCGGCTTCAACTGTGATTTGCATTACATCATTGGCTGCGTTCAGCAGAGAAAGCAGCTTTGCAACTGTTGTAAAATTCTTCAATATTATTGGTCTTGCCCTTAGTTCCTCATTGGATCTAAATGTATAAACCAATCATATTCAAGAATTTTACAACAGTTGCAAAGCTGCTTTCTCTGCTGAACGCAGCCATTATTTCATCTATTAAGGTGCAGCCATAATAAAAGGAATAAGGAATTAGGAATAACAGCCCTTCTACAATAAGCTGCAAGTCAGAAGTTCTAAGCGATCTTAAGTTATAATCGGTGAAGTTGGCCAATAGCCAACTTGAACGACTTAGTTAGGACTGGTTAAAGCGGGGAGCACAGACTCTTGCATAACGCATAACACGTAATGCATAAGAATATGTACCAATCGAAGTTCTCCGTTTCTTTCCCTTCCATGTAATAAAGAACTCTGGTTGGTTCAATTTATTATGCCTCATGTGTTATGCGTTATGCAAGAGTCTGTGCTCCCCTCTTAAAGCGGGGAGCACAGACTCTTGCATAATGCATAACACGTAATGCATAAGAATATGTACCAATCGAAGTTCTCCGTTTCTTTTCCTTCCATGTAATAGAGAACTCTGGTTGGTTCAATTTCTTATGCCTCATGTGTCATGCGTTAAGCAAGAATCTGTGCTCCCCGCTTAAGACTTCTGACGTTCTGACTTGCGGCTTATGGCGTCGTCTACAATACACGGAGTAAGGGCCTGAGCACAATAGAGGAACAGGAATTAGATATTAAGATTTTAACCTATCAGAAACTGATTACATCGGTATACACGGTTTCTGACAGGTTGAAATCTTAATATCTAATTCTTGTTCCTCTATTGTGCGCAGGCCCTAAGAAGTAAGAGTAAGGCTGGTATTCATAGTCAGATCTTATATGCAAGA